TTTGTGTTTGTACAATTTGTCGGGAAACTATTAAGCACATGTATGAAACTGCAATTTTACGACTCAAACAAATTTATTCTTTAAATTTGTAATGACCGCCATTCAATTTTATTGCTGGAAATCCATTTGGCGGTAATGGAGACATTCGGTTTATGGGGTGGTTATTCCATAAAAGCTACTATTATTACGACAACATTAAACTGCTATGAGCTTCAACGGAGGCTGCACTTTGAATACTGCTCGTAACCCATTTTAGCCAACTTTGTTACGTCGCTTGCAACTTTCCACATTTCATCACTATAATACCTACTCGTAAGTATCTAGTCGACTGAAGATCTCGCAGATATTAAATTTACACCAATTTGGGCCATTTCTATTAACTACGTTTAGCGCTAAGGTACTGTTCCATTTGCACTATAAACAGTGAGCTTAATTGAAGAAATTGTGTGGCCGGGAGCTACACAGCGCGCCCACCACTGCTGCGCCACTGCTATTGTAGTAAGCGCTCCGCACAGATAATATAGATCATTATAACTTGCCCGCGAGCCTGTGCCAACCGGATTACCTCTCACTCAGTTCTCAATTTAAATAACGCCCGCTGATTGGCGTCATGTAACGAACTTCCGCCAATGGCGATAAAGCAACAATTAAGTGAGATAAGGTTGTCACACTCCCATTGTTAAATATTTTTTGCAATTTATTTTAAATTAACGCCGTCGACGCGACTAACGACGTCCGCACCAGCCCTGTTTGCTAACAATGGTATCTTGAAATTTAATAAAAACGAAAAAGAAAAGACTCGTTTGTTCGTTTAACCTTAAAACGATATAAATCACGAAAAAGGAGCCACGGCAAAGAGCGAACAATATTATGAAAACCCTCGTACCCTCGAAGGATATTATCCTTTGAACCATAAAATTACATAACTATGGCGTATTCGAAACGTTCTGTTATAGTACTCGCTTTGGTATTAAGATTTTTACCTTTTCTGTTGTTTGCACGTGAACGCGACACGACACAGGTAAAGCTTTTATGTCCTTTATGACGCCGCGACTTAGAATTGCTCGAGGATAGAAGGTTAACAAGATTCCTAATGCTCTTGACTGTTTTTTTAGAAATTGGGAATTGTTATATCAAAACATTAATTCTCTTGGTTTAATATTTTTTGTGCCCGTTGTCTTTTCTCCTTCTTCGTTTTCATATATGGAATAGACCCGATTAACTCGACAACCTACTTTTGTTTAATATCATTCAAAGCACTGAGTCATTCTTCGTCTTACTTAATAGAGTTTTTTCATTTTGATATTGAATTTAAACGATATCTTACGCAATGCCGCTTTATATCCCAGACCGCTCCAACGTATTGTGTGACGAGAAGTAGGTCGTTTCGTCGATCAGTGACAGTATCGCGACATTACCGTGACATCTCGACAAATGCGAAGCTCCCGGTTAATACACCCGATAGGGCTTGTATTATTTATTTGACGTCCCGTCGGAGCAACAGTTGCCTAGCAGGGAGCAACATTGTGTTCCGGCAAAGCAATACGACTTGTCTCCGAGAGGAAGTGGTGCGAAAGTTGTCTATGTAGAAGCAACTGTTGCACTTGAGTTTAACGCCATTGAACTGATGAAACTGCGTATATTATTGTATACAAAATTTTTAAGCTATTGTTACTAATATGTGCTTTGTTTATGAATAACAGATAAATGTATGTGTGTTGGTTGTATTATTTTTATTAATATTCACGTTCTATTTCGGCTTGAATAAAGTTCAAAAGTAAAAATCGCTAATTCTAGACTAGAATGGTGTTATTTGCTTAGCGATGGCAAGTGCTTGTGAAAACTGAGTAACAAGAGAAAACAAAAGGTAGTGCCACAACGCCTAGACAAGAAACTCTGGCAACTTGATGCTACGTGAAAAGTACTTAACTTTATATTTATATAAAGTCTTCATTGGAAACAGCGAATTCGAGGTCTTTTCGCCACCACTGTCGTACGTCGTAAGCCGTCTGCCATTCTTTGTAGCTCGTGGCCGAAGTAAATGACGTTACTCGATAAGACCTCGTTATGCTTATTACTCTACCTGACGCGCAAGATGGTGGTTGCGATTACGTTTACGATTACGTTTTTGTCTTAAATTATCTATGCTATTTCTAACGACGTACACATTAAATAAATGTACTATAATAATATATACATCACGCTTACGTTTACTATCTATCTTACTTACAAAGTAGGTATTTTTAAATTTTTTCTATGCACTTAAAAACACTTTACGTCTCTCTCTCTCTACTCTACTGCTCTAACTCTACAACTCTACGTCTTCAGCTCTGGTAGCCTAGTGGGAGACCTGTTGCTTCGCAATTGGCCGACGAACGGTTCTAATTTCGGCGGCGACATGTACCTATGCCTTTCATTTTTAAGTAGGTAATATATACGTTGAAGTAGATACACAACGTTGGAAATCGTGTGACGTCCCCAACCCGCATTAGACCATCGTCACGGACTGTGGCCTAAACCGTCTTGTTATAGAAGGCCCGGGTACCGAAGATGATCTTCAAAACTAATCGCTGTATACGTTTACTGTCTTAGTAATAATCACATACAATATTGTGTGACAAGTCGTAACTCCCCAATTTTACTATCGCAGGACTCATAAACGAAACCACTCGATGTAACTACCAATATCGCGCAGTATCGAACGAGGATTATTCAGTTTACGACGTCCATCGCTGGCTCTGTGACCCGATCCACAATTGTAAGCAATAAAACCTGTAAAATGGATCATGGACTACAATTTACGATATTGTGCGATACAATCTTACAATGTTGCGAAACTTAAACGGCAATGGTTTAATTATACTTCGGTGTATATTGTATACATAGAATGAAATGAAACGTGCAGTGATTTACATAATATTGTTACGCTCGTAGCTCGTTGCTACGACGCCACACTCACGCGCAGCCATTTATCTCTGTACTCTGCGTAATTAATTGCGTCTACGAGCGTAGTCTACGCACTAAGTCCCGAGTCGGCGACCGAGTAAAGAATGCAATTACTGTCGACTCATTTACATCAGTTATACTTTACAGGCGAGGGGGGGTAAGCGCGGAGCAAGGGAAGACGATGATGTTTCTTACTTTAATACTGAGCAAGATTGATGTGCGCTCAACACAAGATTTAATAATATACATCCGAATTTAATTGGTGAATATGGGCAGCGACGACTGGAGGCCACCGAAGACAATTTTAAGACATTCGTGGTTATTTATTCGGTAATATTTTAATTACTAATAATCACTGAATGAGACTCGCTAAAATGATTATCGTTTATTTTGTATGTCGTAGTGCCTGTTTTGCGTATGGCTTGAAATATTTATAAAAATGAAAAGAGACGGAACACTATTAAAAAATGTTCAGAAATGGAGCAATCTTATAAACGGTGACATCTTAGATTCCCTGATAATCCGCACGAAAACATAGATAATCTGATTTATAACCCCTCGAGTGAAGGGCGCGGGAGAAGAGGTCAGGCGCCACTTGTTGCGGCGCGGCAGGCGCCGGGCCGGCGACGGCGACGCCGCAGCGACGCCGTCACGTGATTAAGATTATCCCATGAATGCTTTGCCTTAACACTTTTCATATTTGCGTCTCATAAGCACTATTCTCTCAGCCTCTTACTTTACAATTGTGTGCGGCGCGAATGTCGCGTTCATAGGCGTCGTTTATGTTTTCTTCAATTCGTTCACATTATCATCAACCCATTATACAATACATACCACTACTGGGCACGGGACTGCTCCAAGGAGAGATTTTAAACTGTAGTCCGCCGCACTGCGCGCTGGTCCAACGCAGTTTAGAAACTTCACGTGAACGTTTCATCACGATTTTCTTTCGCCGTTAGCGAGCAGTATTGCTTCTAAATATTCACATTTACATTCAGTGGCAGTGGAGCTCCTTCTCAATTGTTCGTCCAGGGAAGTGCTGCCACCTTACCTATTTCTGCCGCCAAGCACTAATGTCAGCATTATTATGTTTCGATTTTGAATAGTAAGGGTGGTGGTGAAATTACAGACACATGGGACTTATCAACTTATGTCTCAGGGCATGGGGCACAGTGGCAATGCCCCTCAGATCTTTGCAAGTTAAAGCTCTGAGTGGCACTGCAACTGTTATGGACAGGCGTGTAGCTTACCATCATAACCATTGTTCGTCCCGTCACTTGATATTATAAAAAAAATCTAATGTAAATATCTTAGAAATTAAAGTCATAGGTACATGTCGACAACTGCCTCCGTGGCCGAACGGTTACCATGCCGGACTGCCAAGCAGAGGTCCCAGGTTCGATTCCCGGACCGGGAGAAATATTGTATGGCCTACAGTTATTTCTCTCGTGAGTTTGGGTGTAATTTGTGATTGTCTATGTGTGTGTCCATGGCACCCGCGACACAGGGTTTCCCTAGTACGGGGCTATGTTGAGTGTGTGCGTTATTATTATTATTATTATTATAGATGAGAATCAACTGTTTCGCGTAGCCACTGGGCTACCATCGTACCGTTTCTCGTTTTCCTCGATTATACTTCATTACATTTAATTTTTTACTTCAATATTGAAAATGGGCAACAGTGCGACATATCCTCCGCCCGATGATTGCCCTCAGTGATGATGACTCCCACCTCGCAATATATTACTGAATAGCTGTTGCACTATCTACTACTACCTGTGGGTAGTAAATTCTAACACAAAATGTGTAACAAAGAATAAATTTCCTCTACACTACCTATTTGTTTGTTTTTATATTACATTATATTTTACTGTGTAGAAATATTGTCGAGATATTTCTTGTTTCATGCCCAAGCAACATTTGTTTTTGTTGGATTTGTTCATAACAGTACGTTGAGTGGGTAATTGCCAATCGTGATGCGAGCATTAACAATTAATTACTATTACAATTACTAGTAAATACTTAATTGAAATGTGAATTTGTATTTGTTACAGAACGAGACAGAACCACCCCGGGGCTGTGGTGGATATTTGTGATAATCCCTTGGATGCTAGTAAGGTAAACACATTTTGTACTTATCGACTGTAACGACGTTACACCTATGATATGAACGTGGTATAACGCAATTTGCGGCCCTTACCATTCGCGTATTGTCTTGTAACGGGTCGCCATTACGGCCTGGACCACTTTCCCGGTGACCTCTCGGCCTCGAGCTGCTCACAAAATCGGTCACTTAGGTTTAGTACTCATACCGTTACTTATATGTGTTTTTCGATCAAATTTTTTCATCTTTTGCGGTCGGACAGAACCTATTGTTTTTTTATTCACGGAAGAATATGGTACAGAGTTCTGTTGCACCGGCGGAAGACTTGCCTTGGCACCTGATCATTCTCTGAAGACTAGAATTTTCTTGGAAACGTTTGTTACAAAGCTCTTCGCTTTTTCCAGCTACTGATAGCGTTCGAGACGGGCCTGGTAGTGGTATGGGACCTGCGCTCGCGCATGGCGGAGTGGCGCGGCGCGCTGGGCACGGGCGGGCCGGGCGAGGGCGTGCGCGCCGCCGCCTGGCAGCAGGACGGCAAGCTCATGACCGCGCACGCCGACGGCGCGCTGGCCACCTGGACCACGCGCAGCCCGCGCCCGACCTCGCTCTCTTACCCGCACGGTGGGCTGGTGTTCCGTTTAGCGTAGTACACGCCATAGCATGGAAACGGTTTGGTTAATTTGGTTTTTTCAATTCAATAATTTACATTGCCGTCTTCGTTTCAGCAAAAGCAAGCAAAGACGGCAAATTGGAGCCGTGCAAACCGATCCTCAGGCTCGAATGGAAAACGTCGAGAACGGGGTGAGTATACCGAGCGGTTACAAAAGTCCATTATATGCATTGTCCTATTAAAAGATAATACACAAGACGTTTCTGGGTTATATTACTTACTGTAAAAAGTCGAAAACCCGCGGCCGTAATTGTTTGGCGGTGGTGCCGTCATCGTGTCGTCGTCGCCGCTACATCCGCTAATGGGCAATTCGCCGTAATGCGGACTTCCACAAAACGATTTTACACAATGGCGGCAGGTCAAGCGCGAAGGTATAACATAATATAAAGAAACAGTACCTTTGTGTGAGCACAGGGAAACACTAACTTGGTACGTAGCGGACATTGTTCGGGTTCAAAAAGTCATCGTTAAGTCCTGCAAAATCTTGACCGCTTATACCCATGTAATTAACAGTTTTGGCTGATGTTCTACTATTTTTGTTCTTTTAGTGGATGTCCATATTTTTCTTCGCTGCCTCGCTAGCCTAACAAAACATTGTTTCTTTATTAAGCCCGTAAGTGTATGGCGGCTGCGTCAAATAATGTTGTTCGAAGATTAAGGCCTCAGGTTATCAACCGTGCAAATGCACCTTAATTTTATTCTTCTTTATCTAGGTCTCATTAAAAAGCAAAATAACCGGACGTAAAAAACTAAAACTTTCTAATATTTTAACATCTAGAATGCTATTTAATTTACTTAACGAATATCACTAGTTGGTTTAAGTATTACACCAATCGTGTAAAAAGTGTAACTACTTACGATCATTAATCACATACAATGTTATTTGTCTAAATAGCAAAAAAAAGAAATGCCTACTTACAACTTAAGTGTAATTCATACAAGTTTGGAATTCATTCATTCATTTTTTTTATCTTTATTTATTTAGGGGCTTTGATCGTTATTGATCATGTCAGCCCCGTTAGAAAAACGGTACATCAAGAAAATACTTAATAAAATGTAGACAGATAAATCAAAATACTACCTAACTAAACATACGACGAATCTCATAAATCGCTGTGCTTAAAAGCTGAATGTGTTCAATTCGATGGGCTTATTGAAAAGTCTTTAACAAAATACCTGTATTTTCAAGCCGATTATGAAAAAATTAACTCTGAAATTAGTAGTATTGATTGGACATTCTGTGATTCTGCCATTCCTCTGGATCAAGCAGTGGATTTTTCCTATAATAAATTATATGAAATAAGGGACAAATATATTATTAAAAAATCATTCAAACCCAGAACATATCCTCCTTGGTACTGTTTAGCTTTGATTAAGGTCCTCAAAGAAAAACATAAATATCATAAAAAATTTACAACTTATAATAATTTATCTGATTATCACTCATTTTCATTGTTAAGAGAGCGTGCGAAAACTATGGAACAAAAATGCTACTCATCCTACCTATCCAAGGTTCAATCGTCTATAGTTAAAAACTCAAAGTTTTTATGTCAAGAGTAAGTACAAATCTTCGTCCGTTCCTAATAACATGAAATATAACAATATAACTGTCACCACGGGTGAAGCAATTAGTAACCTTTTTGCCACTTATTTCCAGCAAATTTTTCCACTATGAGCATCAGTCCTCAGTCGAGGGGGAGTGGCTCTGTGTATGTGCCGGAATAACTTGTGGATTGTTCTGGGTGTAGTATATCCTCTATTGAAGTTTGTTCGGCTGAAGTTTTGAAATTACTGAAATCTCTCGGCTTATCCAAAGGTGAAGGATCAGATTCTGTGCCGGCTGTGCTTCTTGCAAACTGTGCTGAATCATTTGTAGTTCCTATCTGTATCCTATTCAAGCGGTCTATTAGAGAAGGCATCGTGCCTACGATGTGGAAGTCTGCATTCATTACTCCAGTACACAAAACAGGGGACTAGCATAATATTGAGAATCATAGACCCATATCAAAATTATGTCTAATTGCTAAAGTTTTTGAAAAATTAGTATATAAGCAAGTATACGCTGCTCTAAACACTTCTTTTAGTGAATGTCAGCATGGTTTTCTTCACAACCGTTCCACGACATCAGATTTAGTTGCGGCTGCTGATTTTATTTCGACTGGTATAGAGGACGGAACTCAGGTGAACGTTCTTATATACTGATTACAGTAAATGTTTTGATCGCATCGTCCACACAATCTTATTTGATAAGTTATCAAGGGATGGTGTCTACGGTGATCTACATACATGGTTCTCATCCTATATTGATAGGCGCAGTCAAGCAGTGGTTCTTTCCGGTTATAAATCTACTTGGAATTTTGTTCCCTCGGGCGTGCCACAAGGGTCTCTGTTGGGCCCATTATTGTTCATCATATTTATTAATGATATCCAACTTTGTTTTCATAACTCTGAAGTATTACTTTATGCTGATGATATGCAAATCCTCAAAAAAGTTGTGTCAAATCAAGACGTTCAGGCTCTACAGGATGATCTTGACCAGCTCGTAACTTATTGTCGAATTCATAAACTAGACTTAAATGTTTCGTAATATCTTAATCGTGTAAAAAAACCAATAACGGTGGAGAGTATAGTCTTCTAGGAAGTTATATGAATAGAGTGGACAGTGTTACGGATTTAGGCGAGTATTTTGATTCCCACTTGCTCTCCAATAAACATATTGAGAGTATAGTTGCAAAATGGGGTTCTTGATGCAGACGTGCAATGATTTTACCGACATAAAGCCTATTAAAATATTGTACTGTTCTCTTGTACGCAGTGTTCTCGAATATGCTTCTCAGGTGTGGAACCCTAGATACGAAGTTTACAAATCACGTATTGAAGCCACACAAAATAAGTTTTTGAGGTATTTAGATTATAAGACAAAACAGCGAACGGTAGGCTATGTGGAGCGTTGTAACGTTATCGTTTTGTACCTCTCGATTATAGGCGAAAAATTAATGACATTTGCTTCCTGTATAACATGACAAACAGTAAAACTGACTCGTCGGAACTACTGTCAAAATTATCCTTTAGGACTAACCAGCTGAGTCTCAGGCGTCGACCGGTGCTGTGTGTGCCCAGAGCGCAGACCAATTATAGGCAAAATTCATGTTTAATCCGAGCAATTAAGGATGTACAATCAATCGTCTATTGAAATAGATCTGTTCAGTACTAGTGTAGGCTTGATTTGACGAATGTTTACTAAGCAATATTTTACGTAATTATCTATCTCTCATTATTTTGTTTCCTGTCTTTAACATGTGCGTGTTGTTGGTTGGGCTATATAGAGTTTAATATTTTTCCTTTTTTTTTTCTTTTCTTTTTTTTCCCTGCATTGGTATAGAATAGTTTCATTTCATATAATATTATGTAGTTTACATTTTAATAATAATGTTTCAGTTTCTGCTAACTAAAAAATTAATAACTTATTTTTTGTGCTACTTGTGGAGATTTGTAATTAGCATTTTCACCTGTTACTCAACATTTATTTGTTGTTAAAAATTCGCTGTAAATCTTCCTAAAAATAAATAAATAAATATATACAAAACCTCCGCGGCACTAAATGTTGGTTCCGACAAAACAGATTGAAACCACCCAACATTAAATGTACGGAAACCAGTTTGTGCAAATTACCGCGCCCTGATAGTTTCCGTCCGAATACATTCCATGAGCAAATGATGGACGTCCTCTGAATTCCACACACTTGACTCATTCTCTTTTAAAATGACCGTCAAAAAATCAAGCAAATGTGGAGGCGTCTTTTTCTATCCGAACAACATCATGTTGTCTGTTGGGAATAAGGTGATATAAGTAAGTTTCAGGTGTGCATGCTACATCGTCGACCTCATCATCACTTTCCATCAGGTGAGATGGAGGTCAAATGCGCAGTTATTTTTTATAAAAAATATGTAAAAATTATCTAAATTTGATTTGCGGTGTGTCCTGTCTTCCAGGGAGAGCCTGGTGATATTCTCAGGAGGCTTACCGACAGACAAGGCGGGGCGCACACACAGCATCACAGTGCTCAACGGCAAGAGCACAACGGTGCTCGAAATGGAGCACGCTGTCGTCGACTTCGTCACACTCTGCGAAAGCCCGCACACAGCCGGTGCGTTACTTACACAGTCTTTAATTCAGCATTGTCGAAGCATTGTCTCGTCACTCGCGTTGGTGACAGTTTATCATAATACTTGTTTCCATTTCAACTCCGCCTTATTATGGCTAGTCATAAATTCTTACCAGAAATTTACCCCCAAATTCAAACGAAACATGTTTCTAAGTAAAATAAATGGACAGAGAAGAGATAAGAGAAATAAGTCGCCGACAGCGTAACGGGTGTAAAACTTTTTATGGAACGTCCCCTTTGACAAGGCATGAATTATTTACATCTCACTGTTTGTGATTTCAGATTACCAAGAGCCTTACGCGATAGTGGTGCTACTGCAGAACGACCTTGTGGTGATCGATCTGCTATCTCCGGGATACCCCTGCTTTGAGAACCCGTACCCTATGGACATACACGAGTCTCCTGTCACCTGCTGTTCATATTTCGCGGATTGCCCTTCAGACCTAGTAAGTAACGTTACTAGGAAGCTTTGGCGGTAGGCACATCAGTCGATCTTACCTCTCAGTGTCGTGGAGTTGTCCAGAAACTAGAAATTTCAATAAACTGGTCGACATAAACATAAAAATTATTGACTACACACACTTTATTGCGGACCGCTTTTCAGATCCCGGCGTTTTATTCGGTGGGGCGGCAAGGCAACAAGAAAGCGACAGGGTTCAGCGAGAAGTTGTGGCCCATCAACGGCGGCGAGTGGGCGCCCGCCTCTTGCTCTTACAGCGAGATCATTCTCACGGGGTAGCCGTCTCATTTATACCTATTTACAATCACCTACGGACTCGCGTAGGCCACGGCGCTAGGCCGACATAGTTCTCGAGAATCATTTATACGTTTCTGTTTCAGACACGCCGACGGGAGCGTAAAATTTTGGGACGCCAGTGCGGGGACCTTACAAATTTTATACAAATTAAAATGTTCTAAAGGTAAGAAGCACCACTTACTATCGCAATCGATAGCTTATCTCGTGGCGGTGTTATCTACAGGCGTCGGGGTCGCGGGCCGGGAGGGGACAGTTAGCTACTTTTGTCAGGGTTGAAAATCGATCCCGTCCGGTTGCAGTGTTCGAGCGGCGCGCGAGCGGCTCGACGGCGGGGTACGAAGAGGAGGCGCCGCTGGCCATCCAGCAGGTGGCGCTGTGCGCGGAATCGCGCCGCCTGGCCGTGGCGCTGCCGCACGGGCACGTCGTGCTGTTCAAGTTCCGCAAGGCGGAGACGCACGGCGAGACTTGCGTCGGTACCCCGCTCCCGCGCGACGCGCTCGGATCCGGCTCCCGGGCCGGCCCGGTTGACCCTTGTCCGCCCGCCAGGTGCTGGAGATCCCGACGATATCGGACGCGGCGGAGGAGGAGGCGTCGCCCGAGGCGGAGGCGGCGGGCGGCCGCTCGGCGTCGTTCTGCCGCGGCGCGGAGGCGGCGCTGCGCGTGCGCGGCCTGGCGGGCACGGGCGGCGTGCGGCGCGCGGCCGGCTTCCAGCCCGCGCTCGTGGCGCTGCAGCAGGGCCCGGCGCACCCCGTGGCCGCGCTCACCATCCACTCGTCGTACGGCCTGTGAGTGGCCGGCCCTCCCCGCCCCTCCCGCCCCTCCCGCCCCGCCCCGCCTGACGCGCCCTGTCCGCAGCATGGCGTGGGGCGGCGAGCGCGGCGTGGTGGTGGCCGACGTGTCGCGGCGCGCCGTGGTGGCGGCGCTGGCGCCCGCGGCGCTGTACCAGCCCGCCGAGCTGCGCGCTCGGCCCGCGCCCGCCGCCGGCGACCGCCAGCGCTCGCCCAGCCTCGACCAGGTAACCCGAGGGCGACGCTTCGCGGCCTTCTCCCGCGTTCTTTTTCCTTTGCCTTTTCTTTGATTCGGCTCTCAGTTGCTAGGTCCGAGACTCCGTTCCGACGCCCGCTCGGACGTCTCGCGGCCGCGCCCTCTTTTCGCCTTGACTGTTCACTTTTTTCTATTATTTTCAAAACTGTACGGCGCTAGCGCCGACCCCGGCTTGCCGCGTAGCGATACTCCAGCATGGCATCGTTAGACGTTCTTTATTCTCCGGCCCGCGCTCCCCGTTCTGAAGTCGAGTTTGCCGCGACACGAAATCGCACCCCGCCCGTAGACTCGGGCCGAGTCTAGATTTTAGTAGAAACCGTAATTTTACAAACAATTGAACCGTTCGAGTGTACGAACGCCGCTCGCTGCGAGTCGCTAGTATGAGTACATCACGTCTTGTAATAAACCTTATTCGACCTTCCTCCTATTATTCGGTAACTTGAAGTCGCCGATGGCCGAAACGGGCCCCTTTATCGTGCGAACCGGAGCTGGAGCGACGGCCGCGATGACGGCACTAAGGGGCCCGTTTCGTTCACGTTGCATTGCGCGTAGGCCACACGCAGCACACCATAGTCTCTTGCACAGAACACTCACGAATCAGTTTCAGTGCTCGCGTCACCTTTATGATGTTTTTCCCCTCCCGTGTCCCCTTAAGCTGGAGGACTGGTCGCGGCCGACGCCCGCCGCCAGTCCCGCCGACCTTGGAGCGGCCACCGCCAACTCCGACGAGCCTGCACCCACTCAAGACAAGCTCGAAAACCGTCGCAAATCCACCTCCTGGAAAACTTTTAATTTGAAACGACAGCTCTCTAAAGTTGACCTCAAATTCAAAGCTGCATTCACTGGGCCCGCCGAAACTAACGCAGAAGAAATCGCTGGCGAAAAACGAAATTCGCAGTTCTATTGTGAACCGAATGATAAAATCGACGCGGCGCCGGAGTCTAATACCGAGACGCCGGAAAGCGACGAAAACAAAACAGCGGGAGATGTGGAGGAGGTGAAAAGCGCTGACAAAAGTGAACTATCGTCACCTTTACGAGTATGCTCGGACGTGTTCGAAAGAATGCATAAGGAATTGCAGGAGAAAAGGTCCTTGGATGTATACGATAGAATGCATAAGGAACTACAGGAGAGATGGCAAGACAAAGAGAGAATCGAAGCGGGAATCTCGCCCGACATATCACCCTCTAGGTTAGAAGAAGAAAAAGTAGTGCGTCCAGACAATTTACCGCTATTTGAGGAGGACGGTCGGCCGGCGCGACCCCCCAGGCAGAAAGGAAAGACTAAGAAGGAGGAGGCGGAGAAAAGAGACCAAAGAGACCAAAGACTGTTATCGGTGCCGAACATAAAGTACAGCAAACGCGAGCAGGAGAGCGTGAAGGACCTGCGGCGCAAGCAGCACACGCCGCCGACGGGCTCATTCGCGGGGAACCTCATGCGCCGGTTCAGTAAGTATCCCGTCACGGCGCCATTCATCTCACCACATCAGACATCACTTACGCCGGGTCTCACGGTCGCTCCCTAGCACTTAGAATAATGCTGTAACATAGAGTAGTTATCAATTGTTCTCCGATTAATTGGAATGGTAATGGTTTGGCGATTTTTACAGTTTTACTACTAATACCGTAGCCCCTTTTTATAAATAGAAGTTTTTGGCTCGTTAGACGTGATGGTAGTTAGAATTTTATAATAACTAAACAATGTGATAAAAGCAAAGTTGAATTATTAAGACTAACATTATTAAGCTATCAATTATGATAAACGTTTTAACGCCGAGAGTGTACTAGATAATACTTTTTTGAAATGCTTTGAGCTTTTTGTGATATTTGGCTTTTTATGATATTTTTATTTATTTTTACTAAGTAATTATTAAATATAAAGAGTAGTACTTGTAAGTATGTACAGTATTCAACTATATACTATATGCGGCCTCCTGCTCCTGTACAAAATGCACTGTACGTGTGTGACGTAGGGTAGGCGCAGGCGTAGCCCTTGTCGCCTACTTCACTCATTTTTTGTTTTCTATTCCAAGGACAAGGACTCGTCAGACGAAGACTCTAACTGCCTTAAATATCTATTTGCTGATTTTTTCGGTAATTGAACAAATCATAATAGTTGTGATTGCAGCAAGTAATGACGTAGGTGATCTCTGTGTTGTCGATGTCCGTTTGAGACTGTATAATTGCTAATAGTAACAAGCTCAGTATTACAGTAGTAGTGATGGTTACGTAGACCACGCCTCAACTACGCTTGGTAACGTCATCAGATAGACCATCGCGAGCGCTACTGCCGCGCGCTCAACGCACGCACGTGCACCATTAAGATCATCACAATATTACGTGCGGACGTATGTTTGACTTATCCACTTTCCCCAGGAGAATTAGTTTCGAGACTTTGCAAGAGAAACGATCCCACAGATGAGGACAAACCGAAAGAGGAAGTGATAGAAGTGCCTAACAGAATAGGTATGGATAAACCACACGTAACAATACAAACACTCGACTAACAGAAGGAACTCAACCCAACACCGGGCAAAACATTTGCGACCCTAACGTCTACTAAATCGTCGCGCACGTGTTACTAATCAATCTGACAAGTTGGCACAGAGATCACACGATCAATCTAACTCAGTGTCCGGCGTAAATTTTGCTACTACTAGGGTCTTCGACGTGTACGCTTTGGTTTATAACATTCCTGTATTATTAATTTCGGTGATGGTACTTAGTCCAAGCCAACGATATAAACTCCTTTCCTAATATTTATCGGTATTCGATCACATATTTTATCATTTTTTATGATTTTAAAAATTTACAAAGAAATCGGGCTTAAAATCGACCCCTGGGGCACCTCTAAAAAGATAAATTATTGTTGACTGTCTATTCACAGTTACATTCACTACAGAAGGGTTTAAACGTCATAAAATTATACCTACGTACGTGACTTGGTTCTCGTCACAACTTGATCGATGTCAAATCAAAAAATGGTACGACCAACGCAGTCTAAGGCTTGCACGATTCTCTGTTCCCCTCGCGGAGCCCTAAACGCGTGGAGTTAATATCGTCGGCAGGACCGGTGGGGCGGTCGCTTCGGTAGGGGTGGGAGGGGTGGCAGGCGTGGGAGGCGTGGGAGGCGTGGACGGCGTGGAGTTGGTGGCGGACGCCGTGTGTGTGTTGTAGATGAACGGGCCGGGCGGCGGCGGCGGCGCGCCGGGCGGCGGTGGCGGCGCGGCGCAGGGGCCCGGCGCGGGCGCGGGGGCTGCGGGGGGGTGCGCGGCGGGCCGGGCCGTGCGCCGCTCGCGCTCGCAAGGTACCCGCAAACTGCACAAGTGCCTGTCCACTGCGTCCGACGTGTACGCCGCGCCCCCCGCCCCGCAGCATTCTCTGCTCACGACGCGACAGTATTGCAGTTTTGGTAGTACAGTCACCTTATACGAAGTCACACTCAGTCTCGTCTCTTTTCATTCCGAAACAGTCGCAATTTCTTCTCCTGTTTTGTTGACTTTTATTTTTGGTTTGTTCTTAAAGACCTGTTGCTCCGTCGTCATCGTGAGACGTCGCTTGGCCGCGCTTCAATACGAGCGAACGGGCGCGCAATACGTGTGCATCGTGTGCATTTTGAGCTTTTCTGAACTGATGATGTCTTAGTTTTGCGCTCGATCTATATATTATTGTGGCCGTTGCCTTTAGGCCACTGTCGTTATGTGAGTTTTAATTTCTAATCATAATCATGGCTTATAATGAACGCGCTCTAGGTCCAAGCGTTTAACGAAGGTCTGTTATTTTTATTTCTTCCTCTTTTCATTTCTTTTTTGTTTTACTTCACATAGACTCTTCCACATTAACTAAACTTCTACTTACCTACTTCTTCTTTCTTTCACTACTCAAACATTCTGCTCGTGGCAAAATCGAATATAGTTTGTTTTTATTATAATTGTCAGAAATGTTTTTATCAACAAAAAATGTTGTCAAACTATTTTATACGATTTTGTAAACGAGCGCTTCAACCTATTGGTCTGAGACTGCCAAAATTATTCACATAGAATATACTACATAAATTGGCAATAATAAATTGACTACATTGCTGGACATCGAATCATGATTCATTTCTGTTTTCCATTAACCCTTTTATCATTTATAAAAGCATGTATTCAGTTATTTGATTCTGTATATTCATTTGACGAATTTCCCATTTTCAGATCGGAATCATTTAATAGGTAATCATTGGAATATACCACGCCTTATTTATAATTGGTTAAATTTAATTTCTAGTTGTTCAGTCCTCGTAGTGTTTCTTTTGTTGTGACCTCATTACCAACTTCTAGAATGAGATTCCCATCTTTTGTATAGTGTATGCCCATGTCGCCTTGAGCGCCAACTGTTGCTGTTCGACTGTGAAGATGTGCAATCTGTCCAGTGCCGACTGCGCCACCCACCGTTCACGTACCACGAGTCACCACGGCTCAGCGCACAATACCAGCAATTCTAGTGCTAGCACTGAACGCTGTGTGGCGACATCGGCTTACTATAGTGTGTCCTGGAGATGATGCTTGTAACATATTGTGGTTTTATTTGTCGGTACAGAACCAACTATTCCGCAGTCTCTCGCATCTATGGAGTACTTACACATTATGCAACCCAATGGTATCCAAAACATTTGCATCAATTTTACTTTTTCCTTTTTATTTTTCTTTCAATTGTTATTTCGTTTTGTGTGGCTTCTTCACGGGCCCCGGCCCCTGTACGTACACATGTAGGTAGTGGTACATGCTAGACTGAAATTGTGGCTGTGACTGTCTTGTCATGTTCTCCTCTTACACACGACACTTGGATTGCACTCAATTTGGTTAACTAAACTGGCATGACTCTAGCGGTAACGTGAAAAGGTGACTTACTACTCAAAACTCTTATTTCGTAGTCTATCACTTATGTTACAACGAGCGGGATCGACTGTATGTTATGTGTGCATAATATGAGTGAGGCTTTCCATATTGTATCAGACACATGATCCGTATTATCATTTTCTATTCTTTGCTCTACATTTTGTTTATGAAAGTGGATAATTTGTTTATCACGAGCGATCACTTTACTCATTTCTTTGCCTTGGTCCACGACGCGACTAGTGGTGCGCGCTGACGTGCGTGTGCGCTCGCGGCGATGTCGTGACGCTAAATCACTCGCAGCTACATCACTCGATAATTTTATATTGTTCTCTCTGTAAGGCTGTTGAGTACATGATATTATTTTTCTTTTCTAGCTCGACCACAAAGCAAAAAGTTTATATGGCTCGTTTTTGGCTGCCTCTATATTCGGCTGTCATTATGTCTATGTATGCTTACGGTATCTCCTTACTTACGCACTAGTGCATGCGCTAAAATATTAGAATTGCACCGCTCCTAGAGTCACTTCGATAAATCAGTGTTGTTTAGTGCGTAGACTGTCTGTCCGTCCATACAACCGCTTTTTACTACTCATATGGAGTACGACTAATTGGGAGTAGGGCTTCCAGTAGACACTAGAATGACAATTTTCTAACGAGTTTGTGCTTCGTAGTGTTTGGGAATAGGCGAGCCCTCGGTCTTACGGCGAGGGGAGCCTCATGGCTTGTGGCTACGACCTGGTCATCATCATTTATCGCCATCCATCCCATCCTTTTCTTTACGCGTCCGTTACTGTTTATTTCCGAAATGTAAATGCTTCCAAGTCGCCGCCTCCATTAACTGAACGCTAATTTATGGATGTTGTTCTAAACTAACCTCTGACAATTAAGATGTACGATCGTAACGGAATGTGTGATCGGTGTTTTGACTACAACTGTGCAGGGGAGCCATTTTCTCACAGAATGCCAACACACTATCAACCATTACGTCAAGGTACCTAGCCATCTAACTAGCCCGAGTGTTGAAACAGAACTAAACCGAGTAGTGTAACGTTGTGTAAATAAGCTGAGATTGGACGGGCATGCAATCCGATTTCTTTTAAAGCATGACTCTTTTCCTTCCGACTGTTTTACATTCAAGCACAGTCTTAATCTCTGCACCGAACGGTGATTTCAGCTAATTTCACAACCGCACCGAGGCTATCCGTCAGCTACGCTAGTTCTAGTCTGCAACTATATTGTAGACTTTTAGAAAGCTGCTGGTCGATCAGGTTCACGCACTTCTCTATGATTTTTCATTACTGTCCATTTGTACGTTATGAAGAACCCGATCGGCCATGCAGCGCGCCGAGGGCTGCCAACCACGTTGTCGTGTGCGCGTGGTGGGCTGTCTTTGGCGGGATAATGTTGGTGCGGATGCAATAACTGGGTATTGTGTTGGCTACCGGCCGGATAGACAAGCTGGACAGCTCGTTCTCACGGTCGCGCTCCAGCTCCATGTCCAGTCTGGAGAACATCTCGCAGGAGGGCGTGCAGTGCCTCGCCTTTGCCGATAGCTACACCAAGAAGTCAGGTGAGTCTCATAATTCTTGTTTCTCTGAAATAAGGCAATTTCTCCCTAATTGGTAATTAATAATGGATAGACTTATTTCTCTTGAATATAATTGTGATGCACATGTAGACCCGACGACGTTGCTGCCGACGCTGTGGATCGGTACCACATTGGGCTCGGTGCTCACGATGATGATCAGCCTGCCCGAAGCCGACCTCAGGCACACGCAGCCCGTCGTTGTCTCTACGAGCGGTGAGCTTTTTCAGTCGCTTTGCCATTCATCAATCGATTTATTCATATAAATTGATAAGTACCATTTGGTTTTATTTAAGAGAGACGATTTTTATTTTTCCCGTATAGTTACACATTCTCTTATATTTTCTTAAACTATTGTCAGTGTAAGTTTTAATGTCTAAAGGTGCATTTCCACCGGTGGATGCAAAGAATTAAAATTTGTATGGCAAAATTTCAATTCTCCCTAGCGCATTTGCAGTGGAAATGGTCTGGATTGACGAGAATCGAAATATTTGTTGATGTAATATTGTACCATATTACTATCCACATAGAGTATTTATTAACTCTTCAACGAAACCACGATGTCTCGCTGTTTAAGCACCCTTAAAAGTTTTCAATTTCACTTTGCTATAAAATTGGCTAATATGTTTTCTGTTTGTTTCGCAGGTGGTCCTATATTTAGGTTAAAAGGTTCAATCCTTACAATGTCGTTTCTCGACTGCAATGGTGCTTTAATACCTTACTCGTACGAAAGTTGGAAGGATGATAGTAAAGACGTGAGTATTTATTTTCGAAATATCTACTGTCATCGTATAGGTACTCGTACACCTTATATACAATTACTACTTATTCTATGTATGAACTTCGCGTAATAAAACCATCGAAACATCGGATAGAACAACAAAAAAGTAACTGAAAGAGACAAAACTTCGCAGGTAAGAGAAAGGCGTGAACGGACGCCGACAAAACAATCGTCGTCGTCGTCGGGCAGTCGCATGTCGCCGACCCCGGCGGGTGAATCTCCGGCGCCAACGGGCGACCGACAGTTCGTCGTAATCGCGTCGGAGAAGCAGGCGCGCGTCGTCGCACTTCCCAGCCAAAACTGTGTTTATAGGCAGCAGATCGTCGACACGGATTTTGTCGTGAAAGCTGAAATCGTCAGTTTAAAAGGTGCATTTTCCCGTTACTTTTGCAGTTTCCATTATTTTCCTATATAATACACGTACAAACAAGTAAAATTTTGTGAGTAGGTAAAGATTGTTGAAAATAAACGAACGTACCGCTGCGCGGTTGCAGATAGTGTGTGTCTCGTCAATTACCTATCGACCGGCCATCTGGTAGCGTACAGCCTGCCCTCGCTGCGGCCGCTCGTCGACGTCGACTTCCTTCCCCTCTCCGAGCTCAGGTGAGGCCCTGGACCATCCATAACGTACGATACTGACTGACTAGCTCCCTCTTTGTTTCATCGCATTTCGCGATTCAGAACTCAAACAAAATCGTTTTTAAATATCAAGCTGCGGTGACGCAAGGAGGGAACAGTTGTGAGTTTGTGAGATTGAGCGGTTTGGTGCAGTGAATGTGTTGGTATCGAGTCCCGCGCGTCACGTCACATGTCTCGGCGCGTGTGTCGCGACACTCCACTGTTAGACGATCTTGCACCGGCCACGACCACGACTGCGGCACTAAATGATAAACGGCTTCTTTTGTTAGACGTTTTTAGCTACGATAGCTTCGCAATTTTATCAGCATGAGAATATAATATTTTATGAGCTGTAATATTTCAGCTAACGATTTGTCATTGTACGGTTTCGCATCCATCTACCATCACTTGCAGAGACCACGTTTACAATCATTGCTATTTTATCATTTGGAGCCGACGACAGACTTCCCTAAGCTACGTTCGATGTTAGTCCCTGCTTGTTTGGTGCAAGACGAGACGATCCTCGGCTAGAGTTACTCGTCGACTCGCCGCCTCGTCGCATTTTATTCCCAGAATCTGTTTTTAGCGTATTTGATATCGTATCGCCTTGCACCAAACAAGTAACGGTGTTCTCTTCTACGTGGAGATGTGAAGCACTCTGGTACTAGCGGCTACGCGCTACTTTCCAATCACAGAGTAGACAAAATGTTGCAAATCTGTCGAGCACCACCTGTGCTTCCGATATTTGGCACTCTTCATCTATTTTTTTCAGTTCAAATAGTAATCGGACATGCCACACAAACACACCCGGAACAGTCAATAGACAGAGAAATGAGAACACACCGTTCCTCCTACTTGTTATGTTTATGCTACTTTGGTGCAACAGAATGATCGTCATGTAAATACACTAACCTATGTACCGACCCACACCGTGTACCCACCACTGTTATGCCTGTGTTATGATCTAATGCTGTGATGATGTTGAGCCTAGCGTGCGCCCTGCATCGCCCCGATTCTCGAGTGCCCGCCTACCGCGGGTGGGGGCGCACTGGCCCCGCAGCGAGCCAGTGTGCGCTCCACCCCACTGACTGTTGTCTGTGTTCCTGGTAGCTTCCAGACACAGTCCAAACAGAGGGGTATCGTAGACCCAATGCTCTCCATATGGGGCCAACAACTGATAGTTAACGAGGATACGGACCAGTAAGTCGCGTTCATGATGACATGCGTTAGCCATGTACCGTCACCTGTACTGTTTGTGGAGCCTCACTCCGTCCGCTGCTGCGTTCCTATAGACATGTTTGTTCATGTTACGTTGACAGTTGCTTGGAAACCCCTCCCTTGTGATGAGGAACGTTTGGATCGGCCGGGGCAAATCATTCTATCCGCATCGTGCGCACAGTGTTCACATTAATAACGTATATATCTGACAATCACATTTGCATGATGGTTGATTAAATTTCTAAATTCTCATCAAATACATCGATTTTTTCTTCTAAGTAATCTGCACTGATGATTTGCCCCCTCCCGACCGCTGCTTGCAAATTTGCTTGAATAGAACCTACTATCCAACAAATACCTACTGCCAATACATATACGACACACTCACACTTGTACGACTGTCGACACGCCATCACACCCTCTCTGTCACATTACCCGACGTCTCCTCACCTATATTTACAATCTTTCTCTTTTCGATTATGGCTGCCACTTCTCGCTTCTCTTGTGTAATTCAAACGTCCCAGCATGAATATTTAGTTGTTGAATGTATTTATTTTGAATGCGATGTCTCGTGAGGCATATTCTCCTGTATTCCAAGCGGGTAGTCGCCGTGCTCATGTTAGAAGTCAAGCTTTGTAAGTAGAACCATTATTCCTATATAGACTTCAGCTTCGAGGAATTTGGAAACAGGTGAGACGTTTTACGTTCACAAGTGATAATTCGCTATAAATTGTCGCCTTGGCATTTTAAAGTTTGTAAATAACTTGTGTAAATATACACACGCGGTACCAGTACGCTGCTGTGATGTTTCTACTAAATAATACTGCTTACACAGGTACCATCTGAACAATAAATTCTGACCTCTGAATTGAAAATTTCAAATTTTATAAATAGAAAGCTTAACTGAAGATATTAGTTTGGCCTTAGAAAGTAATTCAGCAATCCTCAATTGATACACGATGACCATGATTTGATGGGGTTGGTGGTTTGTCTTGTACCGTCTCGTTGTGGGCTGGCGTTGACGCGGTGCGGGTGTTGCAGGATAGCGAAGACATTCTGCTTCAGCAACCGCGGCCACGGCCTCTACCTCGCCTCGCCCACCGAGATACAGAAGTTCACAATCGACGCTGAGTTCTGGTAAAATTATTTTTTGGTTTATGTTTGTATAAGCTTTCTTGTTTTACGTTCCGTAATCTTTGAACCTACTTTCGGTTTTGATTTGGATAGTGAAGTTATACCTATACCTAAGCGCACCACGTTGCCTTAAATGCGACACTTGACGACTGTCGTTGTCCTTGCAGCCAGCAGCTGAACGAGATGCTGGGCGAGCTGTTCCTGCCGCGCGACATGCCCGAGCCGCCGAAAGAGAGCTTCTTCCGCGGCCTCTTCGGAGGCGGCTCGCGCCCGTTCGACCGGGAAGAACTTTGTTAGTACCATTCATTGCTATTATTTAAACGAATTGGGTTATGTCACCACTAACATCTGAAATACAGTGTGGATATAATATTATACTTTCTCGGCTACTTGTTCTCGCGAAATTCAAGCCTTTCTCGTAACGTAAGTATGTAAGCGATATATTTTCTTTTGCATACAGTTGGCGAGAGCAGTGGCAAGCCCAGCCGCACGGTGGCGAAGCACATCCCCGGCCCCAATGAGAACCTGCAACAGCTTGGCGCACGCGCATCCACCGCCGCCTCAGAGGTTCATCGTTAATTTCCTTATCAAAGAACAATAAATACAGTAGAAGTGCTTAGTGGGACATCCGGTGTGGGAAATATACTGTCATTTATTTCTTTTTCATAATCTATGGCAGATTTCTTATCAATAATAATCATTCGTCATCGTTCAGCTATTAATCGCTAGATGGCAGCACATCAAAACGACGTAACTTGATATAATAGATATTGAACATTCAACGATATGCCAACACAGTAAAGTTTAAATTGTATTAACAGCGCACAATTTGTTACTTCTTTTTAAATTAGAAACTACGATCAATCAATATCAAGTTTTCAGCTCAATCGAGGCTTAAGGCACTTCCATTATTTTTTCTTCCGTGTTCCTGATCTGCCTCGAAAACGGAACTTTTTATAACGCGGTACTGAAAATAAACTCGCGTGGGTCGACGTCGGTTGCAGGTTTCGCGGGCCCACCAGCTGGTCCTGGAGCGCGGCGACAAGCTGTCGCAGCTGGAGGAGCGCACGGAGCGCATGTCCAACGAGGCAGCACAGTTCTCCACCTCTGCGCACCAGCTGATGCTCAAGTACAAGGACAAAAAATGGTACCAACTGTGAACTCTCGCGCCCCGACACCCGCAGCGGATCACATTCCACAGAGATGTGTTGAAGCATTTGTGATTGTTCTTATTTCGGCACTAGATGGCGGTGTAGATATATCGCCTTGGACTGTGACGCCGTCTAGTTTCGAAGTTTTTATACTGCTTGTTCTGTATGCGATAGTGTAATTCCGACTTTGCAATGTAAAATTTCCAGAAAATTGCTATCGCGTGACAACAATGTTAGGGTTCGGTCACGAAGTAATAATGTATATTTCCACTTCGTAACAAATTGTAGAAAGATCTTCAATGTATTGTCTCGAGACTCTGTAATGATTTTACTCGTGGAGGAATCTTCTCGGTGCGTGAGCTAGTGTGATAATAATGATCGTTCGAAGTAATTTTAGAATAGAGGCTCTCCTTCAATGTATTGCTGCGCCGGCGCGCCGTTGCGACAAGAGCGTGGCGGTACGGTGTCGCAGAGCGGCCGATCCTCGTCCCGCCGCGCGGATAGAGCTTAGCTACCTAGTAGAGATCTTATGAACCTTAACTTTAGACTCTTATTAGGCGTGTCTCGAAATTCAATGAACGCACAAAACGTAATCGATATCGCTCTCGGCCGTAGAGAGTGGGCCCCGATGGAAACACTAGTTCCGCTTCTCGAATACGCGCTCAATCGTTCAATTATTTCTGTGCCTCGGTATACATTACTTCCAAGGTAGCTAGTACCTATGTAAACGAAACTTTTACACGAGCTTCTCGTCAAAACGAATGTCGCCGTATGAGACGACGAGAGTATCTCGTATGATACAATAGATTCGTTTTTCAATAACTTGTATCGTTTCGCACTGGGAATATGCGGGTGGTCCGTTTCAACACAATAATCAATACCATATCCTGAAATCACAAACAATATTGATTAAAGCTTCGGTGTACGTTCTCTACCTCGTTACAGCAGGTAGAACAAAAAGGACATCATAAGACGGCCGGTATTCGAGTTGACTAGCAGTAGTAATTATTGAAACGGACGGCTTCACATAAATTCTCGAATTGTCCAAACACTGACGAGTCCTAGTCAATCTGCTGTACAGATACCAACAGATGCCACGGCCCTCGTGACCCTCCGGTGTGCGTAGCGCCACATTCATTCACGCGATGTGATAATTGTACATAGTCAAACATTATAAACTAATTTACTTAATTAAATCTTTTTATACATTATGCGATACTAGTGTGATGCTATCCCGTTCTCGTCTCCCGTTGGACCTATTCTGTTGTTGCGTTCACGCATACGCGTCGGTACGCATACGGGTCGATTGTTGCCCCGAGCGAAGCACTTACCCATGTACGTCGCATTCTGTTATTATTATCTAAAGTATAATTACGTTATAGTATACATTGATTGAGATTATTTACCGTTGCTACGTTACGACGATAAGATACAAGTAGCTGTAAATTTTATAGATATGATGAATTAACAAAATAATGAACTTTAATATTTAATAACAATAATGTTAGTCGATGACGTTGATCTGTATAAAGTGTTAAGTAAATAAAAAGATACTTATAAAGATTGGAAATTTAAGCATTGGATGACAATAATTTTTGTTACTTCTCATTGGCGATTTCCTTGACACTGCGATACGTGTTTTGTTTCTCTTCCGCCGCCCTCGGCCGCACGCAATGTCTATGTTAACTTGTCGTCACCTGCGTGCTGTGACCCTTCAACCTTCACTCCTTTGTTATTTCGTTCCTGTTTAGGTCAATTGTCTCGTATTTGATGTTTGGTGGTCATGGCCGCGACCTTATACAATGATAGCAATACTAAGCGAGTTGCCAGCTTAATATAAACCAGACCAATCAGTGTCGTGTCGGTGTTGCTAGCTAAAATAAATTAAATAGAAGCGATAACTATTCTATATAAACTTATGACTAATTGCACTTGTGTATAATGCTGGTTTAGAAATAGGTGCGCACGCGTGCTCGCATTCCGCTTTTTATAATCTGATGTCCTCTAGATGTGGGTGCGTACTTCCTTCGAATGTTTAATGCCCGACAGTGGAAAGTGTGTGACACGTAGGAATGTAAAAATGAGATAATAGGACTTCCGTTGTGTGGTCCGTGCAGTTAGACTGGTCAAGATAAAGTTTAGAATATAAAGCGCTGGTATTGCGGGCGATTATTGTGTAATACTTGTCGGGAGCGAGTGCGCGCGCGTTTAGAACTAAGTACTGTAGTGTTTAGGTATCTGTGTATCGCATGGCAATAAGCGTTTCTCGTCACGACGACTTCGTTGCTTCGCTTCTCTTCACACCACTCTACGTCCAATGTCGTTGGTCGCCTTACTTACCTCGGTGTATTCTATAGAGATGCTAGTTCGGTTTAGTTCTACTCTACTGTATGTATACTTAGTTAGCGGTATGACTTCTGCTGTGTATAATATCGATGCCAAACGTTTATACTGTTTTGACGCTATGTTGTATAAATACAAATATTAATTAATTGTTACACTATTTATAATCACATTTTTATTCCGATTGTAAATGTAAATTACGTTTTCAATTGCAAAATATAAGAAGTAGTTATCGAAGAGTTGACAAATATGAAACGAATGCTGTTCCGTATATAATAATATCACTATTGTACGTTAGCACCGATTTTAATCAGATTATTTTGGTACAGAGGCATATGATTACGAGTTTTATTCCAGAGTGGGTATTTTCATAAGGACGTTTACTGATTTTAAAAGTTATTATGCTGTTAGAGGATGTTTTAATCAGAATTGTCTCTATTTACTCTGTTAAGAGTTGTCAGACGCCGCTCGCGCCTTCATCGCTCGAGGAAAATACTACATAATATATTTGTGTACCTACATAGTCGGACATCCGGTGGACCTGTCGCATATCATTCTAATATCTTCTTGACCGTAACTGTAGCTCGCTGGATCATTAGATCCAGTATACTTTTGAGATGCGGCTTACATTTTCTACCTAAAGCCCTAAGGATAAAGTAGATTTTTCATTTCTATGTAACGTTAAGACTTGATAAGTATTACTGTGTCACCCGTGTATGTTTTCTATTCATAGATTATTGCTAGCGTCGAGTATTTTCTTGTCGAATAACAACTGTAGCATTGTTGGATTGATGTTATCGATGTTTGAGAGTTAATTTAGGGTGTAGTGCGTTTCTCTTACCACCACCACCATGGTGGTCCGGTGTCATGCTTCGCATGAGCAATTCGCCGTTAGAATCAAACACAGGTATAAAAAAAATACGGTTACAGGAAGCGTGACACCAGGTTGCAGAGTCAAATCGTACTGTTCCGCAATACCTTCTAGTCCTAGTCGAGTACCTCATCGCCTTGCGTTCAGCGCCTGCGCGTGTCCATTGCGTTTTAATTTTGACAGCGTTAAAAATAATGTAAAAGTAGAGCCACGTTTTAAAAGCTGTTAAAACAAAATTTCAACGAGCACGAGTGTCGCGTTCGCAGGGCCAAATGTTAAGTTTCTCGATTTTATGATTGTTGTTAGGAGGCGTCAAGTTTAGCCGCTCCGAACCGCGAGCTCCATCTGGCAGATTCATTTGGAAATCATGGGACTAAATCTAATATAAGAATTGTAAATAAATAATAACAAACCTTGTGGCAAATTATTACTCGTTATTCAGTCGAAGTCGACGGTAGTTCATTCCCGCATTATTTTGTATGGGTTAGACGACTGTCTCTTTTTTAATCGTTCGGAAATGAGGAAATTATCTATAACTATACATATTGTATATAAAGGATGCTGTTGAATTATATTGATTATTTAGTTTGGTAGATGATTATAGTCATTATATATAAATAAATTATGAAAATATGAAAATAAAATTATATCAAAATATTTTTTCTGACATTTTATTTTTCCCCCTTAATCGCCCCTTTTTTCTCCATTCTCGAAAATTGCTCTTGAAATGCACACTTTGGCCATCTTCTAAACAACAAATTAAGGCAACTCAGTAAAACGTCAACATAATTAACTTTTAATTGCAGTAGCGCAGTGATGAACAACAAAACTTTCAAATACATTCTAATGATGTAGAGGTAAGTTATGCAATTGTCAGCTTCCGTAAAACTTGACCTCTTTGCGTAGTTTGGAAACGCGAAGTGTTTCAATGAAACATCAGAATATTGAGCAACTTTTTTTAATAAAACTTTAACTATTATATAAATACAATAGAATACATTACGAGCAATTATTATGTCTCGGACGTAGTAGAGCGGCAGGGGGTGAGGAGAAGAGGAGATGGGGAGAGGGGGTATGCCGCGCCTCCTAACGCCCGGAAGGCACATTCTCGTTGAAACGAGCAAGCATTATGCGCCCGCCGTCCACTGAGGTCAGCCTCTGCCTGACAAGAAATTATTTGCTGTTCAATAGACCTATGCTATGTACATACCAATTAGTAACGTAAGAAAGTATCCAATTATTATTTCTTGTCAGGCAGCGTAGATCATATCACGTTATATATACTATGTACAGACGTACAATCGTAGCGGAGTGAGCCAGTTTCTCGACAAAACATGCACACAAATATAAACATTATTTCGGCATTCTTTGCCCCTAGTATGGATCTTATTATACTGTAGAAAGCATTTGAAAACTTGTAACGGCGAAGTTACGCTGTTTTACTTCTTTTAATTAAATGTTCGCAGCGGATTGCCTATTCTCTTTTAAGTGAATGTTGAAACTATGCACCGGTTTTGAATTTTAATAAAACGTATTTAATAAGTTTTGTCAGATTTTTTGGACTGTCAACATCTTGTCGCTCATAGACTTTTTTTCCGTAAGAGATTTGCAATGTTGGTAATGTATGTTTTGGAAAGTCGAGTCACTCCGCCACTTGTTTACAAACCTTTAATACAGATCAAAATACAGAATATCGAAGACCCAAACGTCGATGAATACATATAGCTTTAAACAAAATTGATCCGCAAGCTTAACTAAGGGCAACGCCCTATGGAAACCATAACATATTGTTAAAAAAAATAGTTACGATTCATGAAACTTTTAGCACTGTGTCAAAATTCCTGAATACAAAAATGTAAGATGGATCAGGACAGAAACTCCAAACAGATAATCAATTTAAGCTCGAAATTCTCACTCCGCCCTTCATTTTTGTCTACAGACATTATATATAAATTTATTAAGAGTATAGCATAAATGAAAAGAGGAATTCCCAAGGACGGTTACGGTAGTCCCGAAGATAAAAATGTAAAACAGCAATATCACAATCTCCTGTAAAGTGTATAAGTCGTTGGAAGAGCCCGTGAGAGCGACTGAGAACTGCGTAAAAAGGATCACATGTGGCTATCACACACTCTCGATACAAAAATTTACTCTACCAACTCTGTCCAAACCGTAGAGACAGCATGGACCCACTCGTCTGGTGACGACCAATCAGAGCAACTCCATTCAGACCGATGATTGGTCGACCCCGAAACAAGCGTCGTTGCACACTAGACGTAATCTTAATTTACAATAATTTGGTACCAGACTTGTACATCATATGTATATAAGTAGGGAATACATCGAGTATTCTTAAGTATAAAATGAAACATGAAAGTTGGAAATCACCAATAATTGTCCCACCTATAGCCTATAGCTTACAACACAGGCACATGACAACAAGGCCCGCGGGCAACTAATTGCACTAATACAATTGTTTATGTTCCACAGCATTTAATGCTAACAAGTATAATACTATCGTTTTAAGAAGACGAACACTTTTCGAGGGCAAATTTGAACTTATGTCCGCGAATTACGCAAACGCCTTACTCGATCGTCCTCCTATTAGATTTATTTTCTGAGTAACTCCGTGCAGCGCAGCTTTATCGTATCTTTGAAAATCTTGTACGTCATGAACGTTCAGACCGAGTTCTCTTGTTGCTATTGAAAATATTTTGTGATTACGAGTATGTGGCATCAAAACTGCGCCGCAATCACATGGGACACTACGTTATCAAACACAGAGGAACAGATTTATGCAAAGGTATCACAAATCCACATATAATATCATACTCCCTTGTTTCTTTGCGTAATTGTGTCCCTCTCGATCCGATAACTTAATAGTGCTAGTAAACTAAAGCTAGACTATTTACACAAATTACAGACAGAAAGGCTCGACACGACACAGCAAGCGACGCAACGTCTGCAACACTTAGCACCTCAAAGGGGACGCCCCGAGACTGTACGCATCACCACAAAGTAAATAATAGTTAGGTACCAATACCTAACGCTCCTTCAACGCTCAATGCGGTACTAAAGTAATTAGTTTTTTAATATTCTTCGCTTCGACAATTTCTCGATAGAAAGACGAGTAAGAAAGCATACGAGATGATATGTCGGACTAAGGGCGCCCCCACTTGACGCATCACATTCGTTACTTTAGAATCACATACATTTAGGGACTTATAAATAGCTTTTGATACATAAGCTCCGACTTGGAACAACGCTTTAGCTTTAACAAGTTAGGGTCATCCTTTTCTTTACTATTTAATTGCAAAGAAAAGGTAACACGAAATAAAGTAATTTAAAAATACCCAGTGCTCCAAGTCAAAAGCCAGATTAATATAAAATCAAAATAAGTAACAATAATCTATAGTCTAAACCGTAGTGAAACGCTAATAAAATGTATTTGTTCGAAATGTGCGCGACTGCCGGAGGCGGGCTCGTACATCGCCTCGAATAACTAAACATCGCTACGATATGAATTCACAATATGTTTAGGGAAATTGAAATGTGACTGCTTATAGACAAAACGACTCAACGTATTGAGCAATAAGAAAGATAAGAAATAAAGTTATAAGTACAGAACGTTATACTTCGAACTGGGGTACTAAAAATCGAAATTTTAAATCACGTTTTGGAACTTGGAGATAAAGGCGGAAATATTCCAAAATACCCGCAGATCACTTTTGAACCATTTAATAAAGGATTCGGTTAGCCGTGGGGCCTGCGAAGAGCCCGAAACGTTTGTTTGAAGAAACGAATATACGCGATTTCGATCCAGAACAATTGTTTTAAACAGCGACATCTGAATGCACCTAAAGAGGATAGAAAAACAAGGTAAAAATTAGTTTAAATAGAAATTCAAAATAAATACACTTCGAGTGGACGTAATTAGTAACTAAACAAAGCTATGCTAACCTAACGATATTACGAGATATGTCGAGTGGGGCCGTTCGCTCGACTGGCCACCCAAAGGCGCGGGCACGGCCCGGAGATCTTACAGCATTGCACTATGTTCACTTCACTCTGTCCTTAACAAAAAAATTTCTATACTAAAATACATCAACGATATTAGAACTTATAAAGAACTTCTCTCTCAAAATGAGGTACACTTACATAGTACGGAAACAACAAATTTATTAGAATTTATAGTAAAAGTGCGTTGCAAACGACGTGGTGCAAACATTGTCCTACCAACAAATGGACGTCGATTTCGCGCTAAAGTGTCCGCACGTATAGGGCGTTAAAATCGCATACAGAGCGTCAATCGCGCAGTACCATATAATAACTTGTAAAAATTACTGCAGTAAAGTGTAAAACAGGATATTGATCATATGTTCACTAAACAATTATATTGTGTTATCATAGTTCTCATTTAAAAGTGTTATTTTGTGCAGTTTTATAGTATTTGATTTATATATAAATGAATCGTAAATATAAATTACAAAAGCACACAAAATAATCAAATAGCTAACTGTCCTGTTTCTACAAATTGCATGCGCAAAAAATTGAAAGAGACCCATTACGTCAATTTCAAGAAGCTTATATAAACTTCTTGGTTATTTTCAATTGTTCGAACCATAAGCGATTGAAATATTTAGAACAAAGAAACTATAGAGTCGCTTTGATTTTAATCTTATTTTTAAAATTTAAAAAAATAATTTTTTTTTATTAAACGTTAGTAGTAACCTTAGATGGACAAAAATTAGTCTTAAGGCAATAACTAACACAATATTGTTATACTCGTTTTAGGCTACTTTGAGGGGTCGCGCGGCGACTAAAACAGTGATCGGCGACTCGGCGATATTTAGGCTATGTTTGAAATAGGAAAAGGTGATTTTGGGCTACTTAATAAAATGTCTGGGGAATTACAAATTTTATTTAACACACATAAATTGGCGAATTAAAAGTCTGGCAACACTGCTTGGAATTACCCATCAGAAGTCCGAAAACACATTTGCCCGAAATAACGTTAGTTCGAATTTTCGTAATGTCAAATGTATTTTTTTTTTAGGAAGATTACCAAACAAAAGCTAATTTTGTTTTTGTGAAAAGCATCAAAATTACTCGAAAGCGTAAAGGTTTTATTATAAAACGGTTTTCGGAATTACGGATATTTGAGTTTACGTTTAGTTGGAGTATCGGTACATTTCTTATAGTACATGCTTATTTTCACATTTGTAGTGATATTTGTATGTATGTGTCTGCCCAGTCTTTATTATTTCTTTAAGTGAATTTGTACGAAATTCGACATAATAATATATACAAAAATTAATTGAGATTTAGGATAAAGGCTACTACACTACTCTTGTGTTCAAGTAATTTTCAGTCGAAGCTATATATAGTGCATTTTGTTAAGTTTCCAGTAGAAGCTGAATATGGGGTTTTTGGGCCCATAAATTGTTGCAAGCAAAATTAGGCAGTACTGCAATGACGTTACAATTTAAATTAAATGTTTTAGTTTTTTATATTTCGTTACACGTCACTACGTTTGTACAGGTTAACTTCGGACATTTTTTTCGTGGTTTTTGTATTAGACCCGACGTCCATTTGTTGGTAGGTCAATGGGCACAAATTCATAATACACATTAATATGATTAACACGTCCACCGAAATCATAAAATTTATATAAAATTAAACATGTTTAGACGGAGACAAAAACGTGCGGACAGAATTTATGTTAATAGAACTGAATCGCAACAAAGGACGCGTCGTGAGGGCACGCGTGTCTCTGCCATGATTTAAAATTTAATACTTCCCGACCAAAACAATTTAATCAACAATCTTTCCAAAATTATATAAAATCGTCAGTGTTAACTAGTAGAGACAAATTGAAAATATATGTTTTTTTTAAATGTGACTAAATTACAGAAGCTAATACGTGTTGCGATCGCCTATCGATATGTGCTCTGATATAAACACGATATGCACGTTGCACAAGCCGCGCGCATGCGCCCAACACGCGTCCACACTGTGGGCCCGCAGCTCCATATTGAGGAATGCGGTTACTATTTTATATTTCCATAGAAACACAGTGACCACTGACTCGTTATTTTAACGCAAACTAACTTTAATAGAATACAAAAATGAATCGGCGATACTCCTACTCTTACAATTCTATAAATTACGACATTAATCGATTACACAACAATAAACATGTAAAGTGAAAGATCAAGGTACGTCATTGCATTATATTATACAGACGAATATAACATTTAAATTCGCATCTATTTCGTGTACATAAATATAACAAATAAAGTAATTGAATTTAAAACATGTAAGGTACACGATAAGGCTTTGCGTTGCCGCGATTTATAATCACTTTATTAAAACTGTGTCTTCGTATAGCGTCTACTTTGGCCAACGCATTTTTTCACAATACAAGCTTAACGGTAATTCCACACACCGAGGAGAGATATAACTTTGCAGTATCTTCGAAAAGTTACATTTCTCCTGCCGTTGTAACATCCTAAAGGTAAACTTGCGAATGTACACGAGTCGTCGCGCAACGCAATTGAATTGAAATAGAATTGAACATGTTAACCTACCGAACACTACGTTAAGACTCTCCCGCTTTGAACACAAACGTTGCCGGAATTAAGTGAGTCACGCGCGGCCAGGCACCCGTGCCCGTGCCCGTGCCCGTGCCCGTGACACTCGCGCACTTACGATCGATACAGGCTAGGATCGAATACACAAACGCTCTTTTCGCGTTGTTAAAATCGTTTGAACTGCGCCACTTTTGTTACATCCTATTTACAGCTTTGTACGACAAACACATTTTGTTCACAAACTACGAACAAAATTATTATCATTTTGCGTTTGTGAAGCCGAATTAAAAGTTAAAACAAAGTAAGGGCAATCAACGCGTTGCGAAATGCGGTCGGGGAGTATTTTGGTAATACTCATACACTTTTTCGTCGCTCAAATTCACAGTTTACATATACGACCTACCTTTTTATACTGCTTTTTAATTTACAGTTCATTAATATATTGCACTCAACCAAACATGTTACAATTAGTGAAGACGGAAACTGTTGTGCATTATGCGTATATTTTGGTTAGAACAATAACAATACGAAATTTACATAGTAACGTCTTTTGTAATAAGTGGACTTAAGCTCGCGTGCGTTTAAAAGAGGCACAATGACTATAAACGTTCAGTTAGTTTTGTTCGTTCGTTGTAAATCGAATGCTACCCTAACGTTCAAGGTTCAAATTCAAATATAAATATACTAAGTATAACGCATTTCGAAAACTAGGCAACAATTACAAACTCCGTCACTAAGCGAACCCATTCACTACATTACGTTTATATATTTCTGTATTTATGTATCTATTCATGGTTTTCGAAAATGTTGCCGATTTAATTTCCTGTTGAATGTCAGGTTAACTTGGTGGAACGGAATGGAAGGGAATTTTTGTAACGGTATTATACATTGCATAATGAACTTTATGGACAATTGTGTAACGTACTAACGAGATAAGAGCCAAAATGTTCCGCGGAATTCTTGCGCATGCTCGAGAATACTCGCGCATTCCGCTGAAGATTTTTGCTCGTTCGCATAAAGTGCATTATACAATGTATAATATCATTACAAAAATTCGCTTCCATTCCGTTCCGCCGTAATACAAATTGAGCCTTAGGGGCTTATGTTTGATGTCCACAACGTAATTTCAATCTACGAGTACAATTTCCACAATAAGAGCTTGAATATTCATTGTCTGTTTTACTAGCGCACGGTAATTAGTCAAATATTGAGAATCATTTAGCAGATTTTCAAGAAAATTGGACGACGACACTAAAGATTATTTTGGTAATTTCTTTCAATACAGAACAGCGATATTTTTAGCATGAAAATAAATTAAAAGCTTAGTATACAAAGAATATAAACAAGTGTAAGCATTTCCACACGTATACTATCTTGGAGACAAATTGTAACGCAATTGGCCAGAGCGTTGGTTTTAAAGTTATCGCTGTCCCGTACGAGCGCTACGCTTATTGAATAGACGGACGTTGCAAGTTTGTCGTTTCGATTTACCGAAGGGGCCAGGCGACTGCAACCACGTGCCGAAAGGGAAAGAGAACTCAATCATTCTCAGTCCCTTCAACAACTTTTTTTCTGTTCCTTAGTTGTCGTTTGTTAGATGTCATTTATGAATGCCGTTTCCCCGTTGTCGGGACGTACCTCCATACATTAAGATACATATCAAAAATGATATCGTTTCGAAAATCGTATGTTCCGTCGGGATACCGAATAAATAAATAACATTTGTTTCCGTAGGACACGTAGGACAGCGAGGTAACACAATTAGCCATTTTATGTTTAAATCACTGCAATTGTACCCTTTTTTCTCGTGAATATAAAGTTGCAGTACCGTAGGTTCTGTTCCGAATCGTTACTCTTTAACTCTGTGAAATTGCCACTTCGTTCCGGAATCAAAACGAAGCGGCATCCTTACAGACGTACTACTTAAACGCGCACCAAAGTTTGAACAGCTAAGTACCTACTACATGAGGATCGATCAACTGTCGGTCGACTCGTCGCCGGCGCGGGTCCCGTCGCCGGGGGCTTCGGGGGGCGGCGGGGGCGGCGAGGGCGGCGCGGGCGGCGCGGGCGGCGCGGGCGGCTGCGGCAGGTGCAGCGGCGAGATGTTGGCGTTGACGATGTTGGCGATGAGGTCGGGCGCCATGCCGCTCATGGCGCTCAGCAGGTTGCTGGCCAGCTCGGCCGCCGCCGAGCGCTCCCGCTCGCTGCCGAACTGCTGCAGCCGAAGGGAGCGCACGCCCTCCGCGACGTCCAGCCGCTCGCCGCTGGCCTCCGCGGCCGCGTCGGCCGGGGCGCCGGGCGAGGGCGGCGGCGACGGCGGGGCGTCCGCCTCTCGCTCGGCGGGGGGCCAGAAGGGCGGGGCCATGGCGGGCGCGGGGGCCGCGGGGGCCGCGGGGGCCTCGGCGCCGTCGTCGCTGCGCGCGAACGGGTCCACGGGCGGCGGGAAGGCGTCGGCGCCGAACTGCGCCCAGCCCTCGCCGCCGCACGGCGCGTCCGCGCCGCCCGACTCCCACGCTGCAACCACATTCACCCGGTTCGTCCTCGATGTCGGATCGATCGTTCTCGATATCGAAACAATCCCGTTTATGAACTTCTGCACTATTGCAAAACAAAAACTATATACAAAAGGTCATTACTTATACAGTTTGTATATATTTCGAAGACAAAAGGCCACGGCAGCGATCAAGTTAGCGGACTGAGGTTATTTTTTTGTCTACAGTTTGTCTTTTTTGAAAAAAGTGTACCATGACAGTTCATTGCTCAAAGTGCTCTAGGTACCCGCTTGGAAGCTGCTGCTTGTCCTTGCAGTCGATAAATATTCTACTGAATATGGACCACTTACTAACAGCCGAACCTGTTTCATTTAACCGTGTTTCATCACCGGCCCATTATTCGTCCCGCTGCTGGGCAGGGGTCTTCTCTAAGGAAAAGGTTTAGGTTGGGTCATAGTCCACCACACTTGGGCAATGCGAGTTAGGGACTTTACATGTTTTCCAAGAGCTGTGAACCTTTTTCAACTTGCAGGTTTCGTCATGTTTTCGTTCACCGTTAGCGAGAAGTATTGCTCGTAAACATTAACAAACGTACGTAATTTAGAAATTAACATGCTACACACATGACGTACGCGTCTGGGAAGGGATTCGGTCCATCGACCTCTCAATTATATTGATTGCTTTTATTGTAGCCGACCATACCCAAAATAAAAGTAGTGGGGTAAAGTAAGGGGTAATAACCCAAAAAAAAAAAAATTTATTTTTAAAAAACTATGCAAGGCATATTTACTTAACGCCCAGCAATCGCCAGCGTAGCTGTTTATGTGTCGAGTTAGCATGTTAGCAGGTTAAGTTATAATTTATTTTTCAGTTAATTGTTATTACTGTAATTATGATTGTAAGTTAGTTAAGGGCAATAAATTTAATATGTTATAAATTTTAATATATATAATTTGATACAATTTAAAGTTTGGATAAATATAACATACAAAAAAAAAATTTGTTAATTTTAATTTTCAATTTGTATATTTGTGACGTCCACTGTGTTCCGTGCCGCACGAAAATCAGCGTCGTACCACACTTTCAGTGAGACGGCAAAGCTGAGTGGATGACGGATTCAGTGGCTGCACAGCACACATCCTGTCTCCCTTATCTTTCTTTCTTCTATTTTTTGTTTTTGTTTTGTTTGTAAATTGTATGTGTGCTGTGCTTTACATTGAATAAATAATTTCTATTTCTATATTTCTAACCGTACATTTTTCTATAAAGGTTACGAAGAACTGACTTCTGAATTTTCTCTAACGTCGATATGTGATTATAATGAATGGGATTCCGAATGATGGCGTTAATTTCCGAAGCAGAATATCACAATCAATCTGATCGAAAGTCCTTTGAAAGTCCAAGTAAGCTACGTCCACTTGCCTTTTGGAGTCCAACTCATCAGCAATAGTGGTGGTAATGTTAATCAAATTGGAAGCCGTGGAGCGGCCCGGCAAAAATCCATGCTGTTGATCACAGAACCATTCTCGAAGTTGTTCGTAGATCAACTAGTACATGATGGTTTCCATAACCTTTGCGAAATATTATTATATATATATAATATATAAATATAATTTTTAATTTCGGATTTTGAACCTGACTTATGTATGGGTAGAACTTTTGATGTTTTCCAGATTCCAGGATATGTATTATGATTTATGGACAAATTTATAATATGAAGTAACGGCTTAGTAAATGTTTCCCTGCAATCCTTTACTATTACTTGCGGAATTCCGTCTGGTCCTTAAGTTAGTTTAGGCTTTAATTGTTTCATCGCGGTGTACACGTCAGATTCAGTTACATGTTCCAAAATTATATGGTATAAGTTATATGGGTTATATGTTCCCCCTCCGCGGCGATCATATTCTTTAGGTCCTTGATGTTTCGAAATGCTGTCTGCTCTGACCGTCCTCGTCGTCTCAGAATGTCCCAGACATGCTCTTATCGAATTGAGGTCGGGACTTCGAGCTGGCCAATCCAAACGACGATATTCCCAAAACGGTGGGCGCGAGCCCGTGCCCAGCAGTTAGACGAATAATGGGACTGTGATTTCAAATTAAACGTGTTCGACTATTTCTTGCATAAGCGGAGTCCACATTCTATTACAAAACGGACTAGTACTTTTCAACTACCGCAATACATACGCGAGACTTCGGCCAGGACCTCGTGGAGGCGCGACAGCGGCGCTTCGCCGAGCTCCCCTTCCCCGTCCCCGTCCGCTTCGCCCTCCGCGTCCGCCTCCGGCCCGTCCGCCCACATGCTGCAGCACATCAATAGTATTCATATTGGCAGTCAAATAAAACCGAGCGCCGCATTCATCAAATTCTAGGTTATATACTCACTCGTCGTCGAATCGCTGAGTGGACAACTCTAGGAAACTACTTTTGGCGATCATCATCTGGAAACCGAACGACAAGAAAAGATATTCACACAGTTTGTAAACGTTGGAATGAAAAACAACGATCGACACTGCTCAAAGCCACTCACTGCAGAAAACGCTACCTTGTCGTGGTCGTCTTCGAAGGCGCCGAAGTCGGCGTGGCCCCCCTCGCCGGCCTCGGCCTCCGGCTCCGCCTCCGCGTCGGGCAACCCCGCCAGCTGCGAACGAGGGACAGTCACTCCACCGCTCCTACTACGAGAAGCGTCGGCCCGGTACTCCGAGGCGATAACTCAACAAGCAAACGACCGTACCGATCTACATTATCTAACTTACTTATACCGAGGTAAGGTCTAATGAAGCGATATTTCAAAGCTACGTGCCGTACGTGTAGTATCCCGTTGCCACGTTTAGTTACCAGTACTGCGTTTTGTGGCTACCGATTCGTGTCTACGATTTATATCGCTACTGGACAGTTCGTCGTTCATCGCCGAAAGTATTAAAAGTCATCACGCAGGCGCTTCGCGGTCGAGAACGTGATTTCGGTTGTGAAGTACGGTATTGAATGTGCATAGGCACAACAGCGTTCGCCGGGGCAGCGACGTGTGCGTGTAAGGAAGGGAATGCACGCCGGAATCGTCCGGCTCCGAGTTCTTGAACTGTACGTGCGCATACAAGTATATTAATTAATCCTCGCGTATTCGGATCAGATTCTAACGACTTAGATCACTGTTCTCGACGCATTGTAACCGGAAGACATAATCCACAAAGTTTATCATTTTATAGAGCGTGCCACTTGCCGCAAAATAAGTATGTAAATTCATTCATGTCCGCTGTTCTAAACTTCAAATGTATCTAGTAACAAACAATTATGTAAATAGACTAAAAGAAACTGTCACACGGCCAACCGCTCACATGTATCGGTGTCCGTAATTTCAAGAATTAAAATAAGAACTCCTGCACCACATATTTAAAAAAAGGTAAAATAAACGAACGTGCTTTGAATTTTTATTCTTTTTGTCTCAATTTCTTTTTCGTTTTTTATTTTGTATTTGGCGAAGATCAATTCTAGTGAGAAGAGCAAAAATACAATAATAGAACTGTACTCCGCCTAATTTAAAACAAGAAACCAAATTTGTCATGGAATTAATAGTAATTTACTTTTTTCTAATATTACACATTCTCCTTCATTTTTTAGACTTTTATTTATTCACTCGCATTGTTTGAGAAAACACTATAATGTATATGCCTCGACGGGAACGAGGCTTGCCTGACTCGTATAGTAGCTCGTACACGTCCGGCAATTCTTGACTTGCCGGCCTTTGCATTAATGTACTATAATATTGGGCATCGGATATGGATTTCCTTTTTATTAAGATAGCACCCGTAGTATTTACGTTTCACACACAGTTTTCATCTAACGTACAGTCCGAACGATGTCCAGAAATATTCGGGCGGTGCTGTCAAAAGCGAAAAAATAATAAGATCATTTGCCCAAACATGCTCGGAAATGTTTGCACTACTTTCAAAAAAAGATCACATAAGTTTTCTTATTTATGCAGCGTGCAACTCTTTGCCGGTCTAGGCCAATCCAAATACACAAGAATGGAAGTGCACTTATGTTATCAGCTCTAAACTTATAAATAAATCTACTCACAAAGAACTGTTTGTCGCGAAAATGAGTTCTAGTAAGAAAAGCGGAAATGCAATAAGGAAGTACTACGTTTAATTTAAAACAAGAAGCAAATTTTGTCACGGGTAACTCGTTTCCGGCTAAGAACAAACAAAAATACATGAAGATTTTCAGAAACTTTCATGCACGGATAGGCCAAACATTAATATTTTTTTACTTTTACGCTCTTTAGTGTTTTATTATTTCCCCGCATTGTTTGAGAAGAGCACTATACAGAGTGTTTTTTTTAGTGGGACAGTATATGGGGAAATCCGAAATCATAGAAGATACAAGGAAACTGTTTTACGTACCATTAAGTATTTTTGTGAAAACAATTTTAACATTGTCAATTTTTTGGTCAAGCGTGTGTTGACCATAAAAATTAATAAAATTTATCAAAATATTTGTAGTGCCGATCGACTCAGTTTCATGAAGGGATCATTTCATTGTATGGGACGAAAATAATTGGGACAGCGGAACTTGGTAAAATTTCATAAATTGTTTTCCATCCAAAATGAATAAAATTGACTAATTTTTTGTAATGTTGACAGACTCAATTTCTAAGAATGATTTTATTGTTTTGAAAGAAAAAAATCGGAAATGTTATTAAATTTTATATGAAAATGTTTTCGACTATTTCAAGTAATTACACTATATCGTCCTCGTGGGTGCGACATTTCACAAAAATATACTTTTCATATTTTAAATTTGTATAAAAATATTATAATTCAAGTTTATTTTATAGATGTAATATTCATTTGTATATTACAAGTATTTCACGTGTCTATATAGTTTTCATTTTCACACATTTTCTATTATGTCAGTTTTCTTATCTGTTTATTTATTTGTTGTTGATTTTTTGTCGGCATCTGTGGCTCACTCGCCCTGGGCTGTAAATCAGCGCCACGATACGGTTTTGAAAAACCGATTGCAGCTAAATCTGAGCAAGTTGCGACACGCATGGCGACAAATTTGTTTAATTTAATTTTTATTGTATTTTTATTATCGTTTCTGTTCTTTTTTGTTTATGTGAGTGTCCGTATTTGTACAATAAACAGTTTTCTTCCTCTCTTTAATTTGCTTACGTAGGTAAGCAAATTAAAAATTCATAGGAAATAAAGATTATTTAACTTTGACTATGATTTGTACGGTTTCGGGTTTCCCACGCCGTCCATTCAAAAACAAAACACTCCGCATACAACTCGGCGAGAACGGGAGTCGCTCGACTCTTACGGTACAATCGACGCGACTCGCGCTCGTCCGGCGTTCCTTCACTTTTCGGTCCCCGGGATAACGCGCTAATAGCCAAAATAAGAACAAAAGGCGCAATCTACTGCGGGAGGTGGAGACTCACGTCGTAGGAGGCGGCCGTCGCATCGGCCGCGCCGTCCACCTACAACATCGGCGGGGTCAGCGGTCGGTAAAGGTCGAGAAAAAGAACGGGGAAGACACTCACAACGCTCACCTCGTAAACGTTCTCCGACGGGTAGTAGCCACCCTGAAAGTAGAAAGCGGCGGTAAGGAAAGGCCGGTGCGGGGGGCGCGGGGGGCGCGGAGGCCGCGGGGCGGGATACTGACGAGGGGGGTGTCCCGGCGGTGCAGCACGGGCCGCAGCTTGCAGTCCACGAAGAGCGCGAAGCGGTCGAGCTGCGGCCGCGCGGCCTCGGGCAGCGGCGCGTCGTCGGGCGGCAGCAGCGCGCGCGCCAGCCGCGCCAGGCACAGCGCCACGTGGCCCGCGTGCCCGTCGCGCGGCCGCTTGGCCTCGTTCTCCTCGAAGGCGCCCACCAGCCGCGCCAGCACGTCGCACTCGCACACCAGCTGCGGAGAGGGGCGGTGAGGCGGGGCGGGCGGGCGGCGGGGCGGGGCGGGGCGCGGGTCACGTACGTGCTGCGCGTACTGCGCGCGGTAGACGCGGTTGTCCAGCGCGTTGCGCACGAAGGCGTACACCTGCGCGTGCAGGAAGTTGTTGCTGGGGTGCCGCAGGAACAGGTCCAGCAGCGCGCCCGGCGTGCCTGCGGCAGAGGGGCGGGTCAGGCGCCGCCGGCGGCGCGCGCGCGGCCGGAACGGGCGGTACCCAGCGTGAGCATCGTGGAGCAC